CAGCCCAGCCCAGCCGCACTTACGACAGAAGCTGCCTTATACTGCGCCAGGCCTTTTTCCTGAGACCACTTGTGCAGTTCTCCAAGCCGCTCACACCATTCCTTGCCTAAACCACGTGTCTCATTCTCGCGATCCTTTGGAAACCTTCTGGTCTTTCCCAGGTCTTGCAAGAAAAGGTGCGCTACTTGGACACAGAATGGTGTGAGTGGTCTGGGGAAGACGACCTGGTGTGGCCAGCAGCTGCCTCACTCGCAGTAGCACCAGGCCGGGAATGCCTCACCAGCAGCAGAAGGAAAACAGCAAAGGTCAGGTAGGTGCGGCAGAGCCTGTGGAGCGCAGGGCAGCGGGGGCAACTGGGGCTTTGCACAATAGTGCTGGGGTAGCTAGCCACAACTGTGGGGCTTGAGGCAGCATTTCTCAGTGGCCACAGCAGCACTGGGGCTGAAGTAGAGGCCTGGGGAGGGGTGGCAGCTGGCTGAGACTGCTGAAGGCCCCGGCCTCCATTTCAGCCCCAGCCCTGCCACTGCCATGTGGTGCTGTGCAGGGTGGCCAAAAAGGCATAGATGGGGGAGGGAGGGAGGTGGGTGGGGGGAGTTGTAGCACCCCTGTGGTCATAAGTGTAGGTGGCCTGCCAAGTGCCTGAATTTTAATCATGTCACTGTGGGGCGCTGCAATGGCCTTAACTTTGGGCATGGGTCGTAAGTCAATTTTTTTCAGCACCGTTGTAATTTCAAATGGTCACTGAACAAATGGCCATTAAGAGAGGACTACCTGTACTCTGACCACCTCTAGATTTTGAATTGGGCAGAACGCTCCATGCCTGCCCCTGGCAACTGCACCTTTCCCCAGAAGTCTCCTGGACGTCTGGGAAAAGTAACAGCCTGCCTTGCTGTCCATATCTCCCAACCCTAGCGGGAGAGACGAGGCCAAAACACGGACCTCTTTTCCAGCCTCTGTTAGTGACTAACATATTTTGGCAAACAAACTTGTTTCAATTAGAAGTTAGAAAGCCAGCAGCCCTTAGACATTTGGCCTTTTGGCCTGGTTTGCACTGTCTTGGAACCAGCTCCAGTGGGGCAATCAAAACATCTTCATACCACATGGAGTGTTGCTGAAAACCTGGGTCACCAGGCAATGAGTGGAGGGCTACTAAAGGGCTTCCTGATAAGCCCTGAGCAGACTTATCAGTTTGATGCCAACATATGCTGAATGCAAAGCAAAGGGGCAACGGCAGAGCCGGTGTCTTTTCTTTTCAGAGGCGGCGGCGGCATCAGGCACGGTGGGCACAAAGTTCTGACCCTCCTTTGGCAGAGGGCCTTGGGACAGAGGGGAGAGGAGGAGGGGCTGCAAAGAAACAGAGGGAAAGAAGTGGAAAGGTTGAGGATGAATGCACGTGCTGGAGAGGGAAGGCCGACAGGCAGCGGCCCCGTCTCAGTGCAGCTGTGCCAGCAGAAGGAGCTCCAAAGCAGCTGCAGCATTTTGAGAGAGGCTGATTTCATGCAAGGAAATATTCTGTCCCTGGTTTGGTGAAGGAAAGCGGCTGTCTTCAAAATGGAATCAAGATTTAAGGCATAAGCAAACTCATCCTTCCCACCACAAATATGCTTTTAAACTGGGGTGGGTTTTTTTGTTTTTGTTTTGCTTATTTCCAGGGAAATGGTTTCATTTTAAAAAGCTGTAAACTTGTGTTATTGCTATAATACACAGATAAAAAAAAAGGTAACGGAAGGTAAGTGGTTTATTATTTCTTGCCCAACTCTAACCCCAATGAAATTATTCAATTTCTTAAAGGGGGGGGGTCAGGACAAATTAGCTTATCCCACAAGACAGATAAAAGGCCAGTTGGACACCTCCTATATGGGTAGAAGGATCCAGCATACTACATCTCTGTAGGGACTCACCTGGTGGCCAGTTGACACTGCTTGAACCGTTCGGTGATTTGGCACGTGGCCAGCCATCCCCCACAGATCCAGGTGGACTGGCTGGTGAGTTACTACTGCTCATGAAGTCGTAAGGAACAAAGGACGTCTCCTCCATCCTAAAGCCACTGGAAATAGCACCTGAAAAGCAAGCAGATCCAGCCCTTTTCCAGAACATCATCCTGAGAAGTTGAAAACGGACATCACGTAGCCTTCCAAATATTGCTAAACTCTAGTTCCCATCAGCCCAACAAGCAGGACCATGGGTAAGGGTAGACACAGTCCAATAAGATCTGGTTACTTATCTGCAATTGCTATTATGTGGGTTATGTGCCTGTGCGAAGCCCCATTTGGAATCCTCCAAAGATTACTGAATTGTTGGAGCAAGACCTGCCCCCTTTACTTACTCACTCTGTGTAGCCACCCATCTCACAACTGTGACTCTGGGCAGCTCACAACAATTAAAAAACAACAGAAACGGTAAAAACAAACACAACTGTCCTAAAATCACAATTAAAAATTCAATGAAACAGAATGAATATGAATCATTCATCCATTTAATATAGCCATTGCCGAGGCTCGCCACTACTGCCAGACGCCCAGGCACGGTGGCAGAGCCAAGTCTTCAGGGCCTTCCTAGAGGCTGGCAGGATCGGGGCCAGTCTAAGTTCCGGGGGGTGGTGTTTCACTGGGCGGGTGCCATGGCAGAAAAGGCCCTCTTCCTGGGTCCCGTCAGATGACGTTCCTCAATGGACGGGACCCGTAACATGCCTCTACTGCAGGATCTTATGGGATGGGCAGATGTAACCGGGGAGATGCAGTCCCTCAAATATGTATCATGTAACAAGTGTAAGTCCTTGCCAAACCCTTCTAGTTTCTAAAACCAACACAGAAGATTCAAGGAACAGACAAGTCACCTGAGATGAAGGGGTTAGGAAGGGAGGTTGTGTAGATTCACAGACAATCATCTGAAGTTTCTGTGTTTTCACTGTGGTCTCTGTGTTCACATACATGGGTGAGTAGCAAATGACTTATCTGGAGGAGGATCTGGCCGCCATAAGGTGATGGAGAAGAGGATAGTGTGACAAGATCCGACTGAAACAGGCAGGGCCACACCGGTTCCACTTTTTTCTTCTTGTTCTTCAGTTTGCAGAGACAAAAGGCAGCTGTTGGGTTACCAGCCAAGCCTCATCAGAGCAGACAAACACTTTCCCTTTTCCAGCTTCAGCACTACTACATTCTCTGGTGTAGGTAGTTTACCTCCCTTCTCTAACCAAACATAACAAAGCAGATTGTACTTTAAACATCATGACAGGAGTCTGACATATGTGTCTTCCTTGCATGTAAACACTCCTCTGTGTCATTAGTCTAATTAGTGCATTACTATTTTCTCTGGGAGAAAGTTTATCTTGTCTCTCCAATTAGGGAACTGCATCACCAAGATACCATATTAAATAAACCTCAGTGACTTAGTCTGATTGGCATACCTCAGAGTGGGGCACTGGGAGCAATCCTTGGATTGAATAATTTGGTGTGGGAAGTGGGTCTTGAGAAGGGGACAACATGGTATGTTCCACCCCCTTTACTAGGGGTGACTAACCCAAACCAAAGAACCCTAGAATGGCCACAGCAGCACATTCCTCTTCTGCAGCAGGGTCGCCGGGCATCCAGGCTAGATGAACGAGCACCATTAGCAAAAAAAAAGCACTCGAAGCAGCAGTGCAGCTGAAGAAGAAAAACAAAAGAGACTAAACCTCTGAGACCAACTATTCCTGGACTGAGAAATGTACTGAAAATCTTGTCTTTAAGGACCATCAATTTAACAAGAAAACTTGTGGCTGTTTGGAAGAAGAGGCAGGAATTATTATTTTTTTTATCTGCACTTAGTCATTACCGACTCTGCAGTGACTGCTTTTTGGACGAGTCCTTTTGCAGTTTTCAAGGCAAGGTGTTTCAGAAGTGGTTTGCCAGAGCCTCCTTCCTAGAGCAGAGCCCAGCTGGCGAGCGCAAGAGGCGGGGCTTCCGTTGCTTCGTGCCTTTTTCAGGCGAGCGCGGCTTCTGCGCTTACCGGCAACTGCTCCTGACTCCTTTTGCAAGGCGCCGCCAGCATTTTTCCCCCCCCTGGGGTGAGAGTTCCCATTTGTCTACTCACGTGAGTTTTCGAACTGTTGGGTTGACAGGAACTGGGGA